GGCTGGGGGTGCCCCTGACCACATGGTAACCATGGGAGTGCCAGATGATTGATGGTCACTTCCCAGGACCCATAGGTTGTTTAGGTTGACTGAAGACAGGTGTCTTACCTGAAATGTCCAGTGGTGGGTGCAGAGAGGGCATTTAGCAGAATGGAGGGCCTGGTTCCATGATGGAATCTGGATTGGGGCTTGGGGACGCTCAGTGACCCTTGAAGTGGGGCGTGGGCACACCTGGGAACCTGATCCTGGGTTTTAGCACCAATGAAAGGAAAGCAAAGAATTGGGAGACAGGTGAGAGAGAAATGAAAAATGGAGACCAGGCAGAGAGATACACAAGAGGAGAGTTTATTTGTCAGAGCTGACAAATAAAGGCACATCTCTTCATAGACAGAGAGAAGCAAAACAGGCTTGGAGTTTGGGACTTTTATGGGCAGGCTCTGGAATTAGAGCCAGGCAGGTCCTAATGTGAGTGGTGAAGGGTTGGATTGGTATGAGGGAGTGGTGAGACTTTCTCAGAAATGCCCTTGGGTGGGAAAGCAAATTTTTCTTAAAATGGAAACTGTCACTGAAGATGGCTGTCCAGATGCTAAGCAAAAACCTTACAATTATTTTCTAGCAAAAAATGAATTTCAAGGCAATAAATGTAACTTTAGACAAATTAATTTTATTTTACAAAAAAATTTTGACGGTTGGTTAAATATTTCTCTCTTCACACCTACCATACACATTAGGTTATTTATAAGGCTCACTGTATAGAAAATGGTATTGGGGCTGATGCTATAGCTCAGGCAGAGCACTTGCCTAGCATATATGAAGCACTGGGCTTGATACTTAGCACCACATAAAAATAAACAAATAAAATAAAGGCATTATGTCCATCTACAACTAGAAAATTTTTTTTAAAAAAGAAAATGATATTGATAATGAACAGGTAGAGATGGGCAGTGGGAACATGGAAAATGAGGGGTTAATTCTAAAGACTGAGCCTATGTGCTGTCAATATGTTTTTAAAGAAACAACTTACAGTCATTCTGGTCCTGCTATCACTTAAGATAATAGTCCCATAACACATTACTCATAGGGTTGACGAGTGTTTGCCTAAACTCCTCCTTTGATAAGAAGACAGATTGCCCTAACTGGAGGCTGGAATACTCAATAGCCTCAAGGTCTGCAAAAGAAAGTTCCAGATAAAATCAGTCTGTGCAATCCAAGATGATCAAAGTTGCCTTCAGATTGTTGGCACATTATTTAATCTTATTGTAATTATAAATTTTCACACCTCTGTGTTTCACTTAGACCCTCAGAGTATGACATATGCAATAAGGATTTAGAAATCTGATATAATCCAACTGTCAATCAAGAGCTAGGAGGTGGTACTCAAGTGGGACCCTCTGGAAATTTTCTCTCCTACTCTAAAATAACTGAGTTCACAAAGAAGTGAGTTGTTGATTCTTTAGATGATCCATTTCTCCCTTGAGAGTGCCCCTGCCCTTCTTCTCTCTTCTACTAAACTTTCCTACACCTTCACTACACCTCAGGTCTCCCTTAAAATCTCGTGAAGACACAAGAGCCAAAAGCACAACACAACTTTGTGTTAATATGAATAATCCAGCAGATAGCATGAACACCAATTAAAAGTAGAATGATTAATATTTTGTATAATCATTTGTATTTTGAATGCTTAATAAAGTATGTAATAGCAAATGCAGAAGATACAAGATAATACAGGAGAAAGAAATCTCCTTCTCATCCCTGTGCCCCGCCATCTTATAATTTCACTCCCTAGATACAGTTCCTCTGTATCTTTGCAGATAGATGGGTCTGTGGGATGAAATAAGGTTCCTTTGCATCAGGGCATGCAGGGAAATAAAGGACTTTCTCATCATGCCATCAAGATAAACCATAGACACATATTTAGGCCAATCTCATCTAGGAATATAGCTCAGTGGTAGGTAGAATGCTTGCCTGGCATGGGTGAGGCCCTGGATTTGATACCAAGGTTAAAAAAAAAAAAAAGGCAATACAATGGCAATAAGGAATTTGGTAATTTGTGGAAACACATTTGCAAAGCTGCAAACACCAGGAATATTCCTCACAATTGATTAATACTTTCTTTTAAAAAGTCTATACATATATTAGTAAATATTTATTAAGTGCTAATATGTAACAATATAAATTCCCACCACCCTCAGATTGTGGATTTTAAGGGCAGTTTGTTAGACCTAAGTAAACACACTATTTTGTAAGAGTTGTTATATGTAAACACGATCTAGTAAACTTTTGGTTCATTTTCAATTATTTTTCACTACATAAAATAAAACAAATTCAGTTTTTATTTTAAAATAGAATTTATTAAATACTATAGTGAATTCCATACATTAAAAATGTTTTTCTTGTCAGTATTGGCACATGATGAATAATTTTAAGGTACTGGTAAATTAACACTTCAAAAAATCTTAAACTTGAAATCATGTTCCATTAGAAAATAAAGCCTAGTAGTGTTATAAAAGTATTGACACTTACATATCAAAGTGTAAAAAAAATTTGAGTGCTTAATAAAGTATATACTAGCAAATAAAGTATATAATAGCAAACCACATTACTTTTTCATAAGGTTCTCATTTCAGCAAAATACAACAGAAGGTTAAACAATAGGCAAAAGCCAACTAATTTACATTGACTTGTCTGCCTTACTGGGAAATATTGCAATGTAAGTGGATGAACTATAGATATTTTAAAAATAAGTATATTTCAAAGGAATAGAAAAGCTGTTTACAATACTTTTTGTTTAATCAAAGTACCACATGATGACATTAAAATTCTGCTTTATTTTAGTTGTACTTTATTTGCCACTAAGGTACAACTAAAATAATTTAACCCCCAATGAACATTTTCATATATAAAGGCTGTCCTAAGTATAGAAACACTAAACATGTTAATTTATATTTCCAGTCTTTGCTATATTAAGGCCTATATATTACTATCAATTTTTTTTACCTTAAAAATTCAGTGATCAAACACAATACTCATATTTCAAAGTTGAATAATTTGACTCAGATCTTTTGAAATTCACAGAGTATTTTTCTTCCAGGAAGCATAAAGTGATTTATAGTCAGCATTTTATTTGCATTACCCTCATATAACCCCCTTTAGAATTATCTTCTAAGGTAAACAGGGCACTGAAAATGAATTTTTTGAACTGTAAAATTGATCATTTATCATCATCTTGAATAAATTCAACTTTTAATCTTACCAATGGAAAACTATAAAGCCTCTTTAAACCAGTACCTCCCACTAGTCTGAAATATAATTCTTATGTTTCTGAAATTTCATCTGGCTATCAGGCTAAAATTGGAGGCCAAACTTAATAAATTAGTTCAAATATTTTTTAGTTAAATATAAAAATATTTTTTGGTTATATTTAATGCAGAAATTGAAAGAATGAAGAAAATTGGAAAATTCCTTTGTATTTATTATAAATGTATCATTCACCAAAATCTCTAGAGACATGTAGCTCAAATATACAAATGACAATAGCAAAGGGGCCCAAATTCTATCAAAAGGGTAATAAACCGCAGTCTCTTACAAGGAATTGTTGATGTAAAAAAAAATCTACAAGCTAGAAGGAAATAAAATACATTAGGATACCAACAAGGTCTTTCCTCATAAGCCTATTTATTTTTGCTGACTTAAACTGATAGAAAAATAATCAGTCTCACAGTCTGAGATAACTTGAGTTCTATTTGATAAGTCACAAAAATGTTCATAGGGACTTTCTAGCAGTAAATTTTTTTTTACAGTAAACATTAATAAGTATAACATATCTTGTTGTTCAGACACATTTGGAAAAACCCAGCATCTCTTCCTCTTAAAAGTTATTGGTGGTAGGAGAACACAAGAAGAAATGATAGAACTTTTTAAAGCCAAATTTTCATCTTCCCTATGCTTTGTTCATTTTGATTCCCAAAATAAAATATTCCTATATGTGGTCTAAATAACTATTTTGAACTAGTTTGCCAGGGAGACAGTTTAAGTTCAATAAAAAGTTGACATTGAGGGTGGAGAGACTCCAAAAACTTTACTTTTCTCTTTTTTGTGTGTTAGTGGAAACTGAACCCAGGGGTCCTCTACCTTTACATCCCCAGCTCTTTTAATTTTTTATTTTGAGAAAGGGTCTTATTAAGTTGCCCAGGTTGGCTTCAAAACTGCAATCCTCCTGCCTCATCCTCTCAAACAGCTGGGATTACAGGCATCTGCACTGATTTTTTTCCTTATTTCTATTTAGTAAGACTTCTTCCTTTTGGTTGTAGTACTGGAGGTCCAACCCAGGGCTTTGTATATGTTAGGCCAGTGCTCTACCATGCCCATAAATAAGCTTTTTTGTTGTTGTTTAAAAAGCTTTTATTTTTTAAGTTAATATGTACATTACCGAAAAAATAAATAAGCTTTTAATAGGTAACTAGAACAAGATTTTACTTCCTTAATAAATAATGATTACGTAAGTTTTTGTATCCAATAAGTCAGATTTCATATTTCAGTTAATGTTTTCCTGGAGTAAAAATTAGATTAAGAAATTAAAATATTAACTACTAGTTAATGAAATCAAATTATTTCAAGCAATTGTCTTACCTCAATGTAGTTTTTTAAAAAAGCATTTTTTTCATAGTATATAGTTGAGGCTTTTGAATATCATAAAGTTTGGATAATTTTGCTTAAAAAGCTGTATTTTGGTAAATATTTTATTGACATTATAAATGAAAATATAGTGAGAATTTTAAAATGCCACTTAATTTGTTCTTCTCTTTATCAAATGTGCCAAATAAATTAGATTCCTTTGAAAAAATCCAAACTTGATATAAAACAAAGGCAAAATTAAGATCAATTCTTACTTATAAATTGTCATAAATAAGAGGGCCCATAACTGTATTAAGTAGAAAGAAGAGTTGACTATAAATGGAGTTTCTCTATTTTCAATTTACTAAGCAAAAGTTAACAAATAAAAGCATCTAATGCTAAATTTAACGCAAACATCAAAGGTCTGTTCCATTTTGAAAGACATTAATTTTATCTTTTAATAAGTTAAATTGGTCTTAGAATGAGAGAATAGATTTCTTCACTTTTTTTTTAATGTGAAAGGATTTTGCTATGCTGTCCAGGCTGGTCTCAAATACTCCTCTTTCCCCAGTCTCCTGAGCATCTAGGACTACAGGTGTGTGCCATCATGCCTGGCGTCTGTTCACATATTTTGTGTATTATTTCACAGAAATGCAAAATCCTGTTGCTTTTGCAATCTCTTGTCATTTAGAAATTTCTTAGAGAAAATAAAAGAAAATAGAAAAACAATGTGCATTTCCAGGAAAATGTTCAAAGCCCCACCTGAGATTTTACAAAGAATGACAAAAAAGATTTTTCCAAGTTGGAAGTTACAGAGTGAATAACTGGTTCAACCCACTCATTTTGTAGGTGGAAAAATTGAGATACAAAAGTACACTTGTACTTGTATGCTTCCAAGGTTAACAGTTGTTATTTATGGGGAAAAAGTGAAAATTAGAAAAAAGGTAACAGGGAGGGGAAAGGATGTTACACATAGTGAGCCACATATATTAATATATAATTGGATCAGAATTTTTTTTTTAATGATCAAACCTTAACAGCAGCAAAACCAAATTTCAAAGATCAGAAATACCAGCTACATCTTCAAATAATGGTGTACCACTACAAACTAGACTTCAGTTTTTGTGTCCTTTAAATAACTTCTATATTTCTCTATATCTGGAAAAATATTCTAACACACATTGCAGTCTGAAGTAATTTAGTTTCTCAAGTTTAAAAAAAGGGTTGTAATTTTTAGAAAAAGTATAAAAATGTTTATATTTATTCCCAAATAATATATTTCTAAACTTGGTATGATATGAGGTCCTAATTTTCACTGTTATCTGCCTTCTTGCATGGTCTTAAATACTTTATTTTATAGAGGAGATAAAATATGTCTAATCCTTTAACAAAAAATCTTGCTTTGATAGTTACACTTTGATCTATCATTAGAGTTGAAAGAAATATATTTCAGTAAGGAAAATACAGGGATTAATCAAAATTCTTTTTAGAAAAATATACTGTATACAATACATCTTAGAAATTACACAGACCATATACTTTTATTTAATTCGAAGGCACAACTTTAACATAATTAAAAGTAAATGCGTTTTAATTATCTATGAAATAATTGTCTGTATCAGCTCATAAAAATATATATTTGCAAACACATCATTGAAAATGCTTTTGGATTGTCAATTCAGGAATTGAATTAAAAAGTCAAACTCTTATTTGTAGAAAATCAATAACATTATTGCAGGTCCATATAATATTATTGTTGGGCAATCTGTTCATCAGTAGTTGCTGAGTTTTCTTCATTTGTTGAACAGTCCAGATGGTCCATCATCTAGGCATGAATAAATAAAAGCTGTCAGAATATGAAAACTTTTAACCTGCCTCCTATATTCAATAATTCAACAAAAGGATTCCTAGTTTCTATAAAAGACACAGTGGGCATACACAGAGGGCTCCATGGAACTAACATTCCTTTTGTAATACTGTTCTGGTTCAATATCCATGCTCATAAGGAGATGGTTAGGGTAATAACAAATTTTTCAGGAAGCCTAAACATGTGACTCAGTGCCAATTTGATAACTGTTTTCTTTGGACCTTCTATTACTTTCATTTTGCAACGTGAATACTGCCCTTCATGGCAATGAAAATTCCACCACAAAAGGAAGATATTTCTGATGCTTATTCTAGGACATAATTCCACTTTATCTACCCATATAAATGGAAAATCTAAAACTAGATCCAGATGTCACTGTGAGAATACCTACTGGCTCTGGGACAGTGTAATCTTATTGACACCTTGAACTGATCTTAAGATAATTTAAGAATGATACATGGAATTTTTGAAACATTATATAACAAAAATTTCTACTAAAAAACAAACTTGCAGGCACTTAAAGGTCAAATGATACTTGCAAACAAAACCAAGACTATGTTTGCTATATAGACTATTTTAAAAGTATTACCTTTAAGCTTTTCTCAGTTGGTCTTTTCAGCTCTGCCCATATTCCCATAAAAATCGTTTTATATTTGGGAATAAAGGAGAAGAAATTGCTTAACATTTTCAGCAATTTTTACCCTGTTCTTAAGATAAAACTACTTAAAAATAGAAAAAAAGGATTTATTATCTTTGGGCTGGAGGTGAAACTCAATAGTAGAGCATTTTCCTAGCATGCATAAGGGCCTGGATCTGATCCCCCACCACCATCAACATTAAAAAAAAAAAAAAAAATCTTTGTTTTTCGTGAAGATCCTCGAAGACTTTTAGGCTAGTGATTAAATTTTAGTAATGTGATACACTATTTTTGTAAACTGGTTCTAAAAGCTTTAGAACACTAAGTTTTTTTTGAAAAGTAAGAAATGGGGGTTTTCTAAGTGGGGGTTTTGGATTTGCCAAATAAACAGAATACAACATGAGCTGAGGCTTTCAGTGACAATGTCTCAACCAATGGAGACAACTTAAAAAGCCCAGACCTGTCAATTCTCTGGGTCATATCAAGTCCCCAGTCAGTTCTGTGGTCCTTATTTGCCAAAGGTGCCCCCCCCGCACCTCCAGATTAATTTAGTTACATGTACACAGGAATTATAGGGAAGAAGGGGGAATAAAGAAATTGGGATGTAGCTCAGTAGGAAAGCACTTGCCCATTATGCATGAAGTCCTGTTTTCCATTCCCAGTACCACAAAAACAAACAAACAAAAAATTAAATACAATAAAAAGTTTGGAATTATAATACCGTAGTTCAGAGTTATTTATTCTCTTACATATTTCCAGGTTTGTGGTGTTTAAAAATAAATAAATAAAAGCCAAATTAAGACAGGTAACACGTATTAACCACTTCACTATTTGAAATATAAGATGAAACTGCTGAACAGTTAATATTTTTTTAATTATTTTCATTGTCAATAGACCTTTATTTTATTTATTTATATGCACTGCTGAGAGCCTAACCCAGTGCCTCACACAAGCTATGCAAGCTTTGACCCAAGCCCATGAACAGTTCATTTTAGTCACAATTTAAATGAAGAAAGGAAAGGAAAAACATGTGAGATATATATATATATATATATATATATATATATCCATATCCCTTGGGAGAGAAAACTGAAGCAGCATTGAAAGTATGAATGCTGGAAAAAGTCTTTCTTCCACAAGACCTGCTTACTCTAACAACCATCCCTAAAGAAATAAGGGCTTCCATATTCTATGTTATAAAATGTCTCTTCTTCCTAATCCCCAGGTACCTCACCAGCATTAAAATCTTATCACTAAATATAGAAACATGAAGTAAAACACTTTTCAAAGTCAATTTCTTGAGAAGTAAGCATATCTATCCCCTATTCACGTTTCTTTATTGAATTTTCAATAAAACCAGTGTAGAAACAAATAGCAAACTTAAAGTAAGCTTTTAGTAATACATCAACATAGATAATAAAGTTAATTGGCAAAAATGGTATAAATTTTCATAATATTTATAAATAGGCAATTTGTAGTTTGGAAAGGTGTCCCTTGAAATTGTGTCAGTTAACCTGGCACTTTCTGATAGCTCTACTTACTTAGAATTGAACCAATCTCCAGAAACAGTCTAACAAAACTCACTGAAGTAGGTAACTGGAGTTGTTGATCCTCAAGCAGAGTCATTCTAAGTATCTCTGTACTCTGACTTTTCAGTTACAGCTTGTGACTTCTAAAAATAAGTAAAGTACTAATGACATTTAACAGAGACAAACTCACTATTTCTTAGACATCAACAAACTGAAAACTTACTATCTACCCAGAGTAGAATAGCCCACCGGAAGTTATATAAATCTAACTTCACTGATTTAATATTAGAAATAAAGAAACAAAAATCCCCTAAGATGGTTCCTCTTAATTGTTCTACATACATCAAAATAATTATGACTCTGCTTGATTTTTCTCTTTAGAGAAAAATATATTTATTTACATTAATTAGAACTAAGGCTTTGAGTAAAATTGAACCAATGGAACTGAGTCCTGTAGTTCTTGAACCACTTCAGAAAAGGGTGAAAAGAAATATAGTATAACTAGCTTTGGGCTGTAGAAAAAAAATAGTTAATATTTCCAAATCAGCATTATTTTAATGATAACCCTATAGAAACATTACTTCTTCTGATGTGAGAAATTCACGGAAAAGGCTGACTGTCCTGTTTTCCTCTCCCTCTCTATTCTCACTCACTCTGTGAATGCCAATGACATTGTCACATTTCTGTCTGCATCCAGGTCTGTCTCCTGCCCATCAGACCCATTTATTCAACTGACTGTTATTTCTTTCTTTCTTTCTTTCTGGTGAGTCTATAAGTACTCTGAAATGTCCAACACTGAATTCACGTCCAGCACTTAACATGTCCAATATTGAATTCATCATCTTCTTCCCCAAATCTGTTCTGTCGTCCATTCTTTCAACTCTACTTTCTATGCCTCTCCTCATACTGAATCTATCACCAGACACCAATAATTTTGCCTCCAAATTTCTCTTGACATTGTTGACTTTACTTTAATGTGGGTTACAAGACTCTACAGACTCTCACCCTTGCTTCCTTCTCCAGATGTCACCTCCTGTAGCTCCCCTAACCTCCCTCAACATTATAGCCATCCTGAACTTCAGTTCCTAGCATGTGCCATACTCTCTCCCCTCCAAGCCTTTGAAGATTTGGTTCCTTCAAGTTGAACACATGACTCAGCCTTAAAGTTTCAACATAAATTTAACATTCTTTAGAAAACCTCCCCCAAATTGCCTGTGGCCCTGTCCTGACAATACTGGATGTGTTGTCCCAACTCCTTATGAAGTAAACTTCGTTTAAAATGAGAAATTAATTTTGAGACTGACATGAGCCATTCATAGTTAATAGTCCTAAGGTTTTTCACATAAAAAATATTCTAACATGCAGATATGCCTAAATAACATTAATAGAGCATTCATTTCAGGTTAAATGGGTCAAGATTGGCCTTTCTTTAAAATTCCTAGAACAAAACCTTGACACCAAAATGTTATGTTTAAGGTTTTTTCTTTATGGAAGTTCCTGATATTCCAGTAAAGTCTGTTTGCATTGAAATTAAGAAGTGTTGAGAAACTCTTATCTACTGAGGTCAGGACCATCGCACTGAACCCTTAGTGAAGGCACTTAGTGGAGCAATTACCTCTGCTTTGCCCTATCACAGCAAACTTCCCTCCTCCATCCATCCTTATGCCTGTGTATCAGTGGTCTCATGAACAAAATGAGAGAAATTCTGAGTGGCTAAAATTCTATCAATAAAGAAACAGTTCAAAGTTCATGTCCATCTTGTGGTTGGTCTATAGTGTCATTTGTACTGTTATCTAACAAGAGATAGTTAACACAGGCTATTATAATTGGAAAAAGCACTGATTTAGAATTCTTCTGGTTAAATCTTGTAATTTCTTTTGAGATTTGGATAAATAATACCTGTGTTGCTTACCTCACAGTGCTGTTGTCTCAATTTATATTAAACTACTTAGAATATGTTTATGGCCACAAGGTTCTTGACTAAGCTAGTAAAATAACTTTTAATTTTTCCATGAAGATGACACCCACACAGTTTTTTTTGAGTGTGCGCTAAGGATTAAATCCAGTAACTCACACATACTAAGCAAGAACAGATTTTTTATTTTTAAAGATTTAAAAAGAAAAAATAAAAGTATATCCTGCAGTACATATTCTACTACTAATCTTTGAATGCCACATCCCCCCAAAGAACCTCTTAGCCTTTATTTATTTATTTATTTGTTTATTTACTTATTTATGACAGGATCTCACTGTGTTGCCCAGGCTGGCCTTGAACTGGGCTCAAGTGATCTTCCTGCTTCAGCCTCTTGAGTAGCTGGAACTGCTGGTGTGCATGAGAATACCCTGCTCTTTTTTTCCTTTTCCCTGGTAAAAAAGAATCATTGGTATTGACAGAAAAATCATTAGCAGTGTCTGGGATTGAAGCCAGGGCACTTTACTACTCAGCTACAATCGCCAACCCTTTCTATTTTTTACTTTAAGACAGAGTCTCCCTAAGTTGCTCAGGCTGGCCTCAATCTTGCAATCTTCCTGCCTCAGCCTCCTGAGTCCCTGGAATTATAGGTATTACTGCATCCAGCCTATAGAATACTATAAGTAGTTTTATATTTCTTTATTTAGTAAATGTTTATTGAGCATATCTATGAGATAGGAATAAGTTATAAAAAGCCTATTCTCATGGCTCCTTGAAAATCAAAATCTTGCCTGGCATGGTGGCACATGCTTGTAA